ACGTGCATGCACGCACCGTAAGATGGGCCATTGCCCCTTTACTGTTGAAAGAATGGGAGCTCAGAGAGGTAAGCAAGCCGCTTGAAGCCACGCCGTGATTGCTTGTGGACCAGAGTATGATACCCCAGTGGTGGAGGTGTCCCCTGGGAAGGATGCCAGGTCACCTCTAGTCCTTTCTCTGGGCCATCTGAGTGACCAGGCCAGGACCCCCTCCACCTCATGCCTTAATTTACCCATCTACAGATTGGGAGAGAACAGATCCCATCCTCAAGTAGTAAGCAAATAAAAAATGGGTGTGCAGCCATCAATTTACGGGAGCCTGGTAATACAACCTCCACGTTAATGGATGGCATTATGGATGCCATCCCCATTGATGTACTTGCATTGATGACGCCCACCCCGGGACGTGCTGGAGCCTTTCCAATTTGCTCTCGTGGGAGGTGATTTTATAATGCACCACCAACTGCTGCAGAAATAGAATATTTCCACTTAATAAAAGACAAACACCAGCAAATAAACAGGAATAAACACATGGGGGACATCCTAGCTGCTGCAGTGGACCCCACACAGTGGTGTCCTGTGGAAGGGCTGACTGACTCCAGGTGGCTGGCCCAGGAAAGGAGTGGAGGTGGCCTACCAGAGCTACTCTGGCACAAAGATGAAGTGCTCCAAATTCAGAGCAAGGGAGAAACAAAGGCAAAGCAACAGGATGAGGTCAGAAGAAGGTCATTCACAGACATGCGTGCCGATAGGTCTCATGCAATTATTAGAGGTGCTGTCCTCTGCCAATGGCCCAGGCTCTCAGCGGTGTGCTGAGCATGGCAGTCGGCTCTCAGCATCCTTCTCTCCATCGCTGTAGGGCGCCTCATCGAACACAGGCTGGAAAGTGAAAATCCAGCCCTGCCCAGACTCCCTTGCAGCTGGAGTTCTGGGTCAGAGATGTACTTGTGGGAGGTTTGGACGGTGAAGGTGGCTACCTAGGGCCATGCCTGCTGGCCAGCAAGGTCACGGGGACATGCTGCGGCATCCATCCTCAGCTCTGGAGGCTAGAGGGACGGCTGTGGTGGAGGCAGCAACTGGACCCTGCATCCCACTGTCTAGCCACGGGCTCCATGAACATTGCCAGGCAGATGCCTGGGTCTCAACATCTGCTGTGTGTCCCTGACCTTGGTAAGTCCAGTGGGGCTCCCGGTCCTGCCCCTCATGACATGGGAGGTAGAGGCTCCCCAGGTGGGAGAGCTCTACGTCTCCCGGGAGGGATCCTTGGGGGTCCGGCCTGAAGTCCCTTGTTTAGACCCTGGACAATTTAGAGAACACCCAGTGCCCCAGGCTAAATCCTTCTTCTGCTTAAATTATCCAGCATGGAGCCTCGTTCCTGCCCTGAGCTCTGTCAGACAAGGGATCGGGGCAAACGGGAACACACACGGAGGTGTAAGATTCTCCCGGCTCACGAGATTGTTCTGTTACTCAGAGAAGCCTGATTTCTGCCCAATTCTGAAGTCTGAGGTCAGGGAGGAAACGGGGCATTGACGTCTGGAGCCCTGCGGGACGACTCAGCTACTGATTGACATTCAGGGCGGCCACTGTGAACCAATACCTCTGCCCGCCCCTTGTTTGGGGAATGCTTGCCCGCCCCCCAACCCCTCCCCGCCTTGACAGCCACTCTACTCTGTGTCACCACAGATAAACACAAACACAGTTTTACTTAGGCTGGAGGACCGCAAGTGTTCGGTTTTCTCTAATAGCTTGCGCAATCTTCTCTATTGTTCTGAAGTTGTGTTAAAAAGTAAACGTACTTCCCGATCCATTCTCTACACCTCTCTCAAACCCCCTTCCTCTAGGAAGGCTTCCCAGATTGGTCATCCAAGGTGTCTTTTCTTCCCTACTAAGTTTCTGGAAGGCAGTCCCAGGCTCAGATTAATTTCTCACAGTGCTGGGAAACAGAGGAGGTTCTTGATGGCAAGCAGAATAACACATAACAGTGTTAGAGGTAAGTGTCCAGGGCTGTGCCTGTGAGCAGGACCCAGGCAGGTCAGTTTGGCGCCAGTGGTCCCCAGAGAGCTGGCGTGGGAAGGGGCTGCTTGGCTATCGCATCCTTTGATCCCAGGACCCCAGCAGTTTGCTGAGCCTTGAAATAAAAACCACCGCATCAGGGTCTCACCTGGGAAGGCTGCCCAGGCTCTGAATAAGGTAGCCTCAGAGCACCCCAAGCTACAATGTCCCGGTGAAGGGGGGAAGTGAAAGCATGGGGACAGGGCGGTCTGAGGCTGGGAGGATGGAGTGTTTGCTGGAGGAAGGGGCAGGCACCTGGGAGGAAACCAGAGGGGAGTGTCTGCCTCTGTACCAGTCAGCAAGTCCTTGACAATGGAATACTGGTGTCCATCCCTGTTGACTCTGACTTTGGCAGGTGACTTGCTTTGGCCGACAATGTGTGATCCAGGTCAAAGCAGATATGCCAACTCTACTGGGGCGGTTTTCCCTGCCCCCCACCCCACCCCGGGGCCTCTGCCCTCCATCATGAGAACAGCCTGTCCCCCGGGGACCTCAGGTTCCAGAACAAGAGAGGCGTGGAGACCTGAACCCTACCATTGGCCAGGAGCCGTGTGTAACCTGTCCCAGCAGCACCTGGAAGAACCTTAGCCAACTCACAGACCCAAGAACCAGCAATAATGCTTGTTGCTGGGCATCACGGAGGTCTGGGGCTATGTGTTACTCAGGTGAGCAGATGCTGGCCTAATACACCGGGTCTGTCGGAATCGAGAGCCAGTGTGGTGCTACCACACCATCCCGCTTCTTTGAAGTTAGAGAGCTTTGAAAACCATAAAACCCTAAAAAAAAAACAAAACAAAAACAAAACCCCAAGGCCCTATTGTCAGTTATTAATTTCCCTCAAATTCCTCATTCCTTTCATAACTACCATGAAGCCATTTTTCCTCCCCTTTTTCTTTCCTTAGAGTCACAGGAAAGAACCAAGGAAAATAACCGAGATTTCAGCTCCATTAATTTGTCAGGGCATCATAAATTAAAGAGCAATTGCAACGCAGTCAATTTCTGCAGGAAAATAAGTCTCTGTGATTGTGCTTTAGTCTAATTACGTGGAAGGCTAAGTAGTGCTATTAATACCCAGAAGCACATGGTGTCCCAAAGGAAGGCGCTGGGAGCAAACAGGTGGTCCCTGGGGCCAGGGGAAACCAGGACACCAGTCAGCGAGGACCAGACCTTGGCAAGGAGGCCAGGTCCTGCAACGAGCCACGGCTCAGATCAGCCAGAAGTCTGCATTTGGAGGCCTTTGACCTAGGTGATCCCTCGTGGGAGAAATCCATCATTCATCACCAACTGATCCAACCGACTGGCACCCATCCATCTATTCATCCATCACCCCCAGCCCCCATCCATCATCCACCCACCCATCCATCCATCCTCACCTCCCCGTCCATCCATCCAACAAATATCGTCAGCCAGGAACTTGAGAGGCACCCACCCATCCATCCATCCTCACCTCTCCGTCCATCCATCCAACAAATATCCTCAGCCAGGAACTTGAGATGAAATGCTGGACAAACTAGGAAGAGTCCCTGCCCTCAAGGAGCTTACCCAGAGCATGTCTGCAGGGAGCAGACGTAATCAAATAATGTCACAGATATATAAGCACACTGGGATCAGCCCTGGAAAAGAGAGGTGCTGGGATGCAGAGGAGTGTGGAACAGGGGGGCCCAAGCAGACCTGGGGGTGCAGAGGAAGACCCTGAAGCGGACAGCTTCCGTTTGCCTCTGGACCATGCCCTGCCCTTCTCTGCCCTTCTCCGCCCTGGGGGCTGGCCTGTGAGAATGGCATCCACTGCCCAACCCCGCTTCGGCTGGGTTCCCCATCCCAGGCCAGGCCTCCTTCTGGGCCCCTTCTGGAGACTCTGGGGGCTGCACCTCCTATTGGGCACGACGGTAGGCTAAAATGTGGCCCCCAGAAAGCAGCCATGTCCCAGTCCCCACAGCTGTGCAAGTGACCTTATAGGGCAAAGGCAGACGGGATTCAGTGAAGATCTTTGGATGGGAAGACGATCCTGGATCCCCCGGAGGGAGCAGAGGGCGATTTCTCCGATTTCTCACACACAAACACAGACACACACACACACTCACACACACTCACACACACTCACGCTCTGTGAACACAGAGCAGGGACACAGAGGAAGGCACAGCCCTTGCCGACTGGAGTGGCTCCTTCACAAGCTGCCCGGATACCAGAAGCTGGAAAAGGCCAGGTCCCCCCTGGAGCCTCCAGAGGGAGCGTGTCCCTTGCAGACGCCTCGATTCTGATCCAGCACAACTGATTTTGGACTTCCGGTCGCCCAAACTGTGGGAGACCACACTTCTGGAGTGGCCAGCCATGGAGCCTGTGGTCACTGGCTAGAGCGCTACAGGAAACGGATCCTGGCCTCCGGGGCGGCTAGGGCGGCCCTTCGTCCTCCAGCGCTCTCCGCGCCCTGCTGCACCCTCCTTCCCAGCCCTCAGCATCTGCCAGCACCAGCCCCGGGCTCTCCTACCCCCTGGGCCTGGAAAGAACCCTCCACCACGTTCTCTCGATCACCCCGTGGAGGGGTCCTTAGGTTCCTGTGGGGCCCTGGTGACACAGTTCCCAGAGGAGAAGACACGGACATGGATCTGAAGGACAAGTCACTCCTAGTGAAGTGGAAGAACATCCCACGCTGGGAGGGTGTGTGGAATATTATGGCTGGTGCACCCAAAGGGAAGGCCAAGAGGAAAAGCCCTAATGAACCTCCTGTTTTTCAATCCCGTCTCACGTGCTTATTTGTGCGAAGTGCACCTCTCACCTCTGCCCACTCGGCTCCCACACCGCACGGCCGATGGTGGCGCCCAGACCACCGGCCTCAGGGCGAAGGGCTCCTGGGACACCGTGATGAGCAGCCTACATTTCCCCATGACCCCGCCCAACCGAGCCACGGCGGGCGCCTTCAGGCCCAGACACCAGCCCCGGGCCTGCTTACCTTGCTCTCCTTGGTGTAGGCCAGGACCTTGTCCTCCTCCTTGGGGTGGAAAATCAGCGTTTCCACTGAGAAGGGGATGAGCTGCTTCTGGAAGGTGGCCCCCTCGTCCGTGCTGAGGAACAGACTCTGGTCCCGGTCGCTGAGCGAGGAGCTCACCAGGACGATCTGAAACACAAAGCAGGGGAGACATGAGCCTCTGCTCTGCACAAGGCTACGGAGGGGGCAGCAGGAACTGCGGGGCCGCCCCCTCCCCACCCCGCCCCTGCCCACTCATGCTAACCAGTCACTCATTCACTCACTCCACAACTATTTCCCCATGCCGGGCACTGTCCACACGGCGAGGCCCCAACCACGAGCTGGGTTTTTCTGCTGTGAATGATCCATTCTGTGCGGGCAGCACAAGACAAGTCAGTGTGTCCACCATCGTGTGGCGGCCCGGCGGCCCATGGAGACAAAGCAGGGTGCGGGGGACGTCGGGGTGGGGGCTGCAAGCACCGGACCAGGAGGGGGGCGACCCAGGACAGCGGGCGCCAGGGCTGGACCTCAGATGTGAGGTGGCCGAGGAGGGGGACGGACTGGAGAAGTAGCAGCGGGTCCAGTTCTGTGAGGCCTTGGAGGCCACCGTGGGGGTGTAATGTCCCCATGTCCTCACCCCGGTACCCGTGAAGGTGACCTTACTTAGAAACAGGGTGTTCACAGATGGGATCAAGTTAACCATCTCAGGATGAGATCATCCTGGAAAGTGGCAAACAAGGTGCCCACGGAGAGGTCGGGAAACTGAGGCACAGAGAGGGGAAGCAAACTGCCTGAGGTCACACACCATGCAGATGGCGCCAGGGTCTGGATCTAAGAGGGAGTCCATGCAGGGAGGGGTGCTGGCAGGGTAGAGGGGTGGGACCAGCCCGGCCCAAGATGAGCCCAGCTTTCCCGGGGGAAGGGGGAGACTGTGGGGCACTGAGCCCCCTTCTTGTGGATGCCCCACCTCAATGGGCTTCCCACATCTCAACATTCCTCTAGAAGATGAGGAAGCACACGGGACATAAATCAATAAGCTGCACGAGCTCCTGTCTTTGCAAATGAGAATCTGATGCGCTCTTTCCAGGGGAACCCTGAGGAGCCCTGTGAGCAGGTTAACTGGTCTCCGGCAGGGATCCTGACCGTGCCAGCCAACCAAGGGTCTGAAAGAGAAGGGCAGGGCGCTCCCAGGGCCTGACCCTTGGCAGCCGTGCTCCCGGAAGGTAGAGGAGACTGTGTGGCAGGTGTCCCTCTGGGTGGAGGGACAGGAGGTCCCCACAGGAGAAGTGGAGGGGCCAAGAACGGCCAGGGAGCCCGCTTCATGTAAACCCTTCCCTGGAAATGTTTAATGGCAACGGAGCTTACTCACGCATGAAAAGTAGCAAGTGCCAACTTGGGAGCAACTATGTATTTTCTATGGACAAAATCCTAAGGAAGCATATGATAATTTTGTCAATGGTCACTGTATAAAAGTAAGCGTGACTGTGTCAGTGGAGGTGCACAAACATAAGAGTGGACGGATGGCTGTTCGGCCGTAAGATAAAAGGAAACCCCGTCTCTTGCGAGCACAAGGACAGACCTTGAGGGCGTCGTGCCCAGTGAGCAAAGTCAGAGAAAGACAAATACCCCGTGATCGCACTTACAGGTAGAATCTTCCAAACAAAAGCAAAGCCTGAGCTCACAGATACAGAGAACGGGCTGGCGGTGCCGGTGGCAGGTAGGCAAGGGGTGAAGGGGGTCAGAAGGGCCCAAACTGCCCGATACAAAGTGAGCGGGTCACGGGCTGCAGGGTGCCCAGAGCGGTGACACACTGGACTGCATGTCCGAACGCTGCTGAGAGACAGGATCCCGAACGGTCTCATCACGAGAGAGCGTCGCTATGAGGGCGCGCGGTGGCGGAGGGTAACCAGACGCACGGCGGCGATCATTCCACCGTCAATACAAACACCGAATCCCGATGCTGTCCGCCCGAAACTAAGGTAGTGCTAGATGTCAATTACACCTCAATTCTGAAAAAATGAACGGAAGGAAACATGGAGGACGTTAATAGTGGTTGGTTTTAAGTGGTGGAGTTAGAAGTCATTTATTTTCTTATTTTAAATAAATGTTGTGGTTTAGAAGAGTTTTAAATTTACAGAAAAGTTGCAAAGATAGTACAGAGAGTCCCATAACCCCTGGCACAGATTCCTCGGCTAGGATATCTCCCTAAGGAGCCAGCATCCACGCGTGGGTATGGTCTGAGCTACGCGCTATGTTCCACGCGTGGCTTTTCCCGGTCTGGGACCCCATCCAGGACCCCACATGACATTCAGGTGTCCCGTCTCCTGAGGCTTCTGGGCTGTGACTTTCTCCAACGCGCCTTGTTTGTCTTGACCTTGACAGTGTTGAGGAGTTCTGGTCGTGTATTTTGCAGACTGCCTCTGGATTTTGGCTTATCTACGCTTTCCTCGTGGTGACACCGAGGTCACGGGTTTCGGGAAGGAAGGGCACGGAGGTGAGGACCCTCCTCACAGCAGCGGGTCCAGAGAGCACAGCATCGAGGGGAGACTCCAGCCACAGTGCTGGCCTCGCTGGCCGCGTGGTGCCGGTCAGGGCTCCCCACTGGAACGGCACTCCTTTGCTCCAGCGTCCACGCTGTCTCCACGGAGGATGGCCCCACACACAGCCCACACCCGCGGTGGGGAGGGCGGCTCCCCTCCTCGAGGGCCTTGGAGCTGCGAGCGTTCTCGTGAATTCTGCGTGGGAGACTGGTCTCTTCTCCCGCACTTACTGACTCAATCATTTATTTACGTCACTATGAACTCATGCATATTTATGTTAAGACTCTGAGTTGTAATTCAAGGCTGTTCTCTTATTTCGTTGCCCAAACGCTCCAGCTCTGGCTAGTGGGGGCTCTTTCTGGCTCCTGTGTTCTCCTTGCCATAACACCCTGCTTCTATTTCTAAATGTTGTTCTGTGCTGCTCCTGGCCTCCCCGGATAATCAGGAGGAATGAAACAGATCACCCAGACTTCTCACACATCGTACTGGAGACAGCTTGGTTCACTCAACATCCGCCCAAACACGCAGGCCAGACTCTGTGCCCCACCCCAGGGCAGCCACCCATACGCCAGGCTCCTCACGGCCATCTGGCCAGGGAAGCCAAATGTCACTCATCAAAACGCTTTCTCATGATGATAATTTCTAAATGTTCTTAGGCTGCAACTATTGACTTATCCGCCTCCCCCAGTAGATTGTGCCCTTGAGCGCAGGATAGCGACTTAACTCCTGTTTTGTTCCACCAGCATATAGCCCAGGCTTGACATGGCGCTGTGGGTTAATCCCGCCTGAGGGATACTGACTGAATGCTTGCGCACATGAATGAATAAATAAGTCCATCTCAATCTGTGACTCCAAAAGGAATTGCTCGTTCGCTCTTCTCCTTTGGGAGGAAAACATTCCTAGGGATATGTAAGAAGCCTGGAGACTGGACGTCATAACAAATCCCTCATTCACTTCTCTCCTTTACTCAGAGCTTCATACATCAATGAAGACTCATTCATTCATTCATTCATTCTTCCAGCGTTACTAAAACCAGAGTCAAGCAAAGATTTAGGTGTGCACACGGCTTTGTGGCAGCAGAGCCGGGGGGGAAGAGAATCCAGGTACAGGGCCAAAAGGAGGGATTCCTAGAGGAGGTGACCCCCAGATGAGCCTTGAAAAATGGATGGAAATTTGACTGGCAGACCCAGGGGAGGGTGTTTCATTCAGAGAGGACAGCATGACCGGAGGGTGGGGCCCCTGCCCCACCTCTCGCCCCCGCCTCAGGCTCCATGTGTCAGCCATATAGAGCCCTGCTGTGTTTCTCCAGTTCACCGAGACTGTTCACATCTTGACCACCTTTTTGTGTACGGTTCCCTCTAGCTAGAATGTGCGGTGGGACCAAGACAACCCCAACCTCAATGCAGATAATTCAGAATCAGAGTTTACAATTTCAAAATGATACAAAATCCACATGTGATGAACTTAAAGCAGCTTCTTAAAATGTTCAGAGCCCCCAGTTCTGGGCTGCTTCCACAAAGCTGAATGTTTCTCATTTAGTTTTGCAGGTGCCTCCAGCATGAGTTTATCCTGTTTTTATGTTGGGATGCCCTTCCCCTCTTTATCTGCTTGTCAAATACCTCCTCATCCACTGAGGCTCATTGCAAACGTCACCGCCTCCAGGAAGCCCTCCATGATACATGACCTCCAACAGAGTTATTCCAATACGTCCTCTGCCCCTTCCTCTAGCATCTTGTGCATTCATCTGCACCAGCCCAACATTCTTAGTGTTCTCTTTGGGAGTCCGCCTCCCCCTCTAGGCAAGGCCTGTGTCTTTGTCACAGCCATGCCTCCAGCCCGGAGCACAGGGCCTGGCACCGACTGGGTATCACGTCCCAATAAACAGGTGTTGGTGCTACTCCCACGCAGAATTAGGGTTCTGGGTATGGGGTCGCCTCTCCATCCCAGCCCTCCATGATGGCCAAGGCCCCGCCTGCAGTGGTACCACGGTGGAGAAACAAGAAGCCGAGGAAGTCATTCTGGCCGGGGGCCCAGCAATCTGGATCGGGGGCTATTTTGGGCCTCAGAGTGGGACAAGTAAGCCAGGAAAGATGGGGGACAAAAAAGTGCTGACAAGGAAAGGATTACTGGAGCAAAGAAAACAAATCAATTAGCACCGTGCTGAGTGGAGGCTGGCAGATTGTTCTTCCAAATTGGGAACCAGACTATTTCCAACAGTGTATTTTTACTGCTTACTGTTCCGGGCCAGCATATGGTACCTGCACTGGGTTCCGGGGGCCCATGAGGCTGGGTGTTTTGAAATCAGAGGCCACGTGCTGGAGAGAAATATGGGACAGGTTCAGAGGACTAGCGCCCAGCCCCTTTGAGCGTGGGTCCCAGGACTGGCCGTGTGACCTGTGGGGCCCCAAATGCAGGGATCCATGCTCAAAAAGAATTAAGAATTTCAACACGGTGCAGGCAACCATTACAGCAAGCACTAAGCGTGGGTCGCACACCCCTGAAGCCCGCCCCCATTATCCCAAAGCAACTCAGCTAATAAACTCAGGGACCTATAGCCCCAGCGTCATGGAGGCTGCAGGAAGTATGGTGCCTCCGCCCCACCCGGGTTGA